TAGAACTGGAAGAAAATATAGTTAGATGCTCATCTGATTTTGAGCACAGAAAAGACCTATTAAACATAAAAGTAGCTGGGTGTGGTGGTACACACTTGTAATCCTAGTACTTAGGAAGCTGAAGCAGAATCCAGCCTGGGCTACACAGCAAGAGCCTGTTTCAAAATAAAATGAAATGAAATCCTAAAACCCCATAAACAAAAAGCCAAAAGACAAATAATTAAGGAAATAAAAATGAAAGTAATAAAAGTGAAGTAAAGAAAAACTATTTGCAACATATACAATAAAGGGGTTATATCCGGAACATGAGCTTTTCAAAATGAATAAGAGAATAAAAGTGTCAGGTGTGGTAGCACACACCTGTAATCCTAGCACTGGGAGGCAGAGGCAGGAGGATCAAAAGGACAGCCTAGGCAACATAGCAAGACCCTGTCTTGAAAAAAACCAAAACAGGCCAGGTAAGATGACTCATGCTTATCATCCCAGATACATGGGAAGCATAAATAGGATCACTTTATAGTCAAGGCCTGCCTAGGCATAAACATGAGACCCTATTTGAAAAATACCTAAAGCAAGAAGGGCTGAGAGTGTGGCTCAAGAGGCATAGCGCTTGCTTAGCAAGTGCAAGGCCCTGAGTTCAAACCCCAGTATAGCCAAAAAGAAACAAAGGTGAAGAACATGAGTAGGCAAATACTAAAATATATAGATGTAGATAAAAACATGAAAAATGAAAACATTTATCATTAATATAGAAGATGCAAATTAAAGAAGATATAATTTATTACCTGTCCCAAAACAGGCAAATGTATTGTAATTATGCTAACATCCAGTGCTGATGAGAGGTAAGAAGCAGGTCCTCAACAGCACTGTCAGGGGAGAAGCAAGCATGAATAAGACAGAGACCAAATGACCAAAGGTGCGGAAAGACTGTATAAAGACAAAGAGTATTACTTTTATTGTGAAAAAAATTCTTAGGCACCTAGATTAAAATATTAACCAAGCATTATAAAATGACCTTTTCCAAAACTACTTTATGACACAAAAATGATAGTTAAAATGAGTTACAAAGTAGCACTGATGACACAATCCTATTTAAGTTAAAAACATTTTTTTTTTTTAATGAACAGGAAAGAAAGGTCAGATTAATCCCTCCAAACATTAACATTCTATTGGTGGAATTTTGAATGACTGTCATAATAAGGGGAAAAAAAAAAGCCCACAGCAAATGCTATTTTTCTTACTTACTTTCTTTTTTTTGTGGCATCATTAGAAACAGTATATCTAGTATAGAAAATGACGAAATTTTATGAATGTTAGTTATCTGTTTTATTCTGCCCCATCTCATTTTTAGGAAGGAGTGATAACTGTGAGGACCTGCAATAAGATCTCGTACCTAAGAGCAGAGGCTGTCTGAGGTGGCCAAGTGCCAATATAATTTTTATCTTTCATTATTTTTCCTGCAAAACTGGAAGGAGAAAAGGTCTATAAACCTTCCTACTTCCCCTGCCCCATGAGCACCTATATTTGTTGTCCTAGAGGCTCATGAATCCTGGGAGCATAGGGGATCTGGGGCCCAGCAGAGACAGATGGTAGAGTGAAGGGAAGTGAACAAGCTGAAGTGCCTGACATCTAGAGAGCTTGTTTGGAGTGCAGCTACTCGTATACCCTTGACCCAAGAACGGTCCTCCTCTATCTGGGATGGTCGTCCTCTTCGCCAAGCACACAGCTTCGGGAGGGACGCACATGGAGCGGTGAGGGAGGAAGGGGACACCCGCCTAGCCAGCCAGATCAGCCGAATCAACCCTGGTGATCAATGGGGTGACAGATGTCGCAGCCAGATGGCCCTCAAATCCAGTGCCTGACTTCATATATTAAGGTGTGTTAGGAACTCTTTTGAAGGTCTTCCCCAGCCATTGGCAATTCTACCTCTATCTCAACAAAAAGACACCTGTGAAAAATCCTTTAAATTGAACCAAATAGAGCCATGAAACTCCGTCAAAGACTCATTCAACTCTATCGAAAAAGACAGAGAACATAAATGAAATAAAGTAATGCTAGTGCTTGAATAGCTCCTTTAGTGTTGGGGGTGGGGCTGGTGTACTGAAACAAAAAAAAAAAAAAAAAGGGGGTGTGTGTCTTCAGAGTACACAGGTACAGAGTGCATTGCCCTTGTCAGGTCTGCCTTCATGACATGGAATTTAAATCTCTGCCATGCATGAATCATCATTACCTTTAATACAGTCCTACATGATACCACTTTATACCCTTTCACCACAGCCACCACCATAGTCTAAACCCCACACACAATTGTCCTCTATCCCTGCTTAGTTCAGTCCCATAATTTCTGCTTCTAGCCTGAACCACATCCACACTGCTCTTAGAAGAGTCATCCTCTAGTTGAATTGTTATTTAGGCATACTCTAGTATTGGTGATACATTTTTCCCAAGAAGGGTCCATTTCCAAGTTAGTTCTATGTCTATAATTCGGACCTGTTCCACCATCACCTGATTCGTTCTCATAATAAACTCTAAAAAACCAAAAACCTCCTTGATTTATTGGCAGGTACTACAGCTTGTCATTACAGAAGCAACAAAGATGAGCAAGAGGACATAATCTGAGAGTGAGAAGCCCACCCCTAACAGTCCAACTGGGGAAAACCTGATGCTAGTCCCAGACTAAATCCTACAGTATTTCCTCTAGGTAAACTGTTAAAAAAAAAAAAAAAAAAAAAAGAAGGAATGTCAGAATTATCTAGATAATCTCCAACAGTAGACCCGTTCTCTGGGTTCCTGGGGCAGATAAAATGAATGATCTTTGCCTAAAATTGCTAGGATAAGGCATAAGGCAACAATTTGATTTGATATAGAGAAGCTATACTGAGAAAGGGAAAAGTCCAACTCTCAAGGGCTGCGTTCAGCATGTACTGGCAGATACAAACATATGGTCTGCTTTAGGGGAACTGTTTTGTTACTGTTGTTCTTTAGTTGGTTGGTTGCTTCTGGAGAAGGGGGTCTCACTATATTGTCAAGGTTCGTCTCCAACTTGGATCCTCCATTTTCTGCCTCCTGAATACCCTGGACTATAGAAAGTACCACCCTATCTAGCTGGAACCATGGGCTTTTAGGATGCAGATCAGAATTTTTCCTATCAGAAATGCAGCCAATAACATGAAAGCTGCTTGAAAAGATGAAGCTTTTAGTAATCAGTAGGAATGGGTATGGCTGAACTTTATTGTACAGCTGAACAGGTCTACTTGGTAGACCACCCATAGCATCCTTAGACTCATTCATCCGAAATGAAAAGGTGAGGGCTGGTGGAATGGCACCTGCCTGAAATGAAAAGGTAAGGCTGGGAGGAGCCAGAACTACAAAGCAGTAAGTTCTCTCCTATATAGATCAAGTCTATTAGAATGGGTAACAAAGTTTCCTATTGAACCCACACAGAAAAGTACTTTAGAAGTTCCATGGTGCGTAACAGATCCCACATTCCATTCAGGGTAGATTAGGACTTACGAGGAATAGAACAGATAAGGAAATAGGGGTAGGATTCTAGCCTCAGAGAGAGGTTTTCTTTAATCCCATCTATGGTGCATTTTATCCTGAACATACTTGGTTCTAAGATGTCCTTTAACCTGAAGGATTCTAGCTAAGATCAGTCCTATCCCCATTTAGGTTAGTTCAAAAAAGCCCCTAGACCCACAGGAAAAGCAAGTTGTATTCAAAATACATTTGAATTTTTTTGGTGGGGGTGGGGATTTTTTTTTTAAATGATTTTTGGAAGCCATAATGGATCTACATTTCCTATGTTTTTCTTCTCTAGGGGATAGAAATTCTTTCTTTTCTCCACAGCATTGTGTTCTTCTTCAGAGACTTTTCTAACTAATAGGGTATTTAGTTCTTAGGGACCAACCATGAAAAAAATGCTAGAATTTCTCTTTCAGTCACTTAACACCATTAAGGAACTTTCTCTCTACTTTTTTTTTTTCTTTCTTGGAAATGGAATCTGAACTCAGGGTCTACTCCTTGAGCCGCTCCACCAGTCACTTTTTTGTGATTTTTTTTCTGAGATAGGGTCTCATGAACTATTTGTCCTGCGTTGGCTTCCAGCCACAGTCCTCCTGATCTCTGTCTCCTGAAGCAGGGATGACAGGCATGAGCCACTGGTGCCCCGCTTTTCCAGAACTTTTAAGCAAAAATTTTTCCCAAACCATAGAGTATTAACTTGTACTGCTTAATTATATATACATAAATATTAAAAGTTTAAGAAACATAATCACACAGAGTCTCACAGATCTGAGCTGGTCCTCCTGTTTGACCCCGACTTCTGAGGCACTTCCCTGGGCAGCCCAGGTCTTGGCCACTGACTCCCAGAGCCTGCTGAAGTGGATCCAAAGAGCTGGGTTGGAGTTGTAAGTTTTTGCCACCATATTTCTATGAACTTTATCCCTTTTGTTTATTCAGGATATTTACCAATATCCAGGAAATCAAAGAGCTGGGAAAGAAGGGCAGGGTGGTGGCACATTACTAGCCAAATCCAGGCATACTGAGTGAGGCCACATGTAACAGGAAGCAGAACCCACAGGACCTACCAGAAAAGTGCCTTTGTCACAGCCTGCCCACCCTCCATGGTGCCTTCCTGGAGGGGGTCAGAACATTCCACCTGCCCATGGGAGAGTCTGCTATAGTCAAGCACAATGATCTACCCTACCCCATGGAGAGTAGAGGAAAATGGTGCCCCAGTAAATTCTGAAGTACTTCATAGCAAAACAGCTACTTTTACAATAAGTAGTTCAGTTAGGTAGCCATTTTCATGAAACCCCAAGTCTCCTACTAATAAAAGGAGTCAGAGGCTCCTAAAATTTTCCTAGGCATCAAATGCCTACCCAGGAAAAAACTCAAACCAAGCTCAACCTTCTTCTAACGGACTTGCTGTCAGCCATGTCAGGAAGGTTTAAGTGGAAACAGGGAATAAATTCAATAAAATATTTATGCTTTCTTACCATTGGCATCTTGGACTCCAGTAAGTGCTCCGACGGCTGCTGCGGTTTCCCCAGACAGGACAATCTGTCCCCCGCCTTGCAAGGTGGCCTCAGCCAAGGTGGCGACAGCATGGGCAGCAGCTTCGCTGAGGGTACAGGGATGGAGAGAGGGGGACATGCAAGATGAATAAAGGTATGGCACTACAGCAAGACAACCCATACTTCTTTGGATCTTTTTTTTTTTTTTTTGGCTCCATGATTGTGAGACCACCAGCAAATAATGATACTGTACTAATACAGAGCCAGGAGTAATTTCAAAATGATAATAATAAACAGCTAGAGGAACTTCAAGTCTTACATATAAGGTGACATTTTCTTTAAACCTAAGTAATGCGTGCTGGAGGACAGAGGTGCTCATTATCAGTCTCTTCTTATTGATATGCATTGAGTGCTTGCAAGTCATAGTGGAAGCTCTGATCCATATTCACAATGCATAAGCCATTTCAGTTGTCAATCACAAGGCTTTCTTTTTCTCTTGTCTTTACGGTAACACACAGCAGACCATCTGAGTGAGACTGTCATTTTAAGTCAAGGACGGATGATAATATGAGGAGTCAGCAACTTGCTATCTAATTAATATTAGGTATAACAATTTAGTTTATATCCATGCGTTTTAAATACAAAGTAATTGTTGACTATTAACTAGAAAAATCCAATTCTTCCTTTGCATAGCTACATATGCAGGCAGGACTAAAAATAAAAACTTAACATTTAAAATTATCACTACCAACCCAAATTTGCCTCTATAAATACGATGAATAAAACTCCCTTCACTGCAAAGCAAACACTGTGTAGAATATAAAGACATTAACTAATCATCTGTTTATATGGAGAATTCTAGCGGTTTGTGTCCCCTTCTTTTTTCTTTGTTATGTGCTTTCACTATGTGTATAAATACCCATTTTCTTGATTCTTATGATGCTATAAACTATAAGATGTATGATTATCTTAATGTGCCAATAAGGAAGACAAGAACAATTCCTGATGATTTTAAGATTAAAATTCAATATCCCTCCTAGGAAGATGTAAGGCACCAATTTGCAGTTCCTGAGGGAATATCAAAAGAAGGCATGCAGTAGAGAAGGCTGCAATAGTAGTTTAGCAAGGTGTGAGTTTAATCCCCAGGGAAGCCCGGTGGATTCAGTTTTGCTTTGATGCTGCAGGTTTTGTTACCACTAAAGTGGTCATCCTGCAATCACAGGCTCAAGTGGGGATGGGTGAGGAGCAGGGATTGGTTGGGGTAAATATTTCATGACTGGGCAAAGCAATGCGTACCAAACTGAATAAAGTTCCTTTCATCTAACAAACTCAGTAAACAAGTAAGGCAATAGACATAGCAATTCCCCAGGGAAGACTTCCTGGTCACTATAAGGATTCTAAGAAGCAGTAAAAGAAAGCCAATGGACAGAAAATCTCCTTAAACAGAAACTAATTTATCTTGCTTTAAATTTTTGTCTCTGTTGAGTTTTTTTTTTTTTTTCTGATAATAAAAATACATGTAGAAAACTTGGGAAAAATTTGAATCTCACACAGAGATATTATCTGTTCAATATTAAATAACCAGGGTCACATTGTATATATGGTCGGTTATTTTTATTTATTTATTTTTTTCATTTTTCTTTTATTATTCATATGTGCATACAAGGCTTGGTTCATTTCTCCCCCCTGCTCCCACCCCCTCCCTTACCGCCATGGTCGGTTATTTTTGCAGTGCTAGTGACCAAACCCAGGGCTTTACCCACACTAGGAAGGCACTCTATTTCTGAGCTATACCACCCCCATGCAGTTCTTTAAATTATCTTTTCCTGTTTCATGTTGTTTTTGAGACAGAGCCCCTAGGGTGCCCTGGAACTTGCTATGTAACCCAGCCTGGGCTCAAATTCACAACTCTTCTGCCTCACCCTCCTGAGTGCTGGGATTATTGGTGTGCACCACCATGCCTGATTAAATACTTTTTTTTTTTTTTTTTTTTGCGGTACCAGGGTTTGAACTCAGGGCCTACACTTTGAGCGATGCCACCAGTCCTTTTTAGTGAATTTTTTTCAAGATAGGGTCTCATGAACAGGCTGGCTTTGAACCGTGATCCTCCCGATCTCTGCCTTCTATGTAGCTAGGATTATAGGTGTGAACCGTTGGTGCCTGACTTAAATACATTCTTAATGTGAAACTATCAATATCATCTACCTCTATAACCTTTATTATCATGTAAAACTGAAACTGTACCTGTTAAACACTAACTTGCTAACTCCCTCCGTCCTTGCCCCGGGCATCTAGTCTTCTATACCATTTCAAATTCCTAGCAACAGTACACAAGGTTTCCAATCTCTATATATCTACACCAATATTTTGTTATTTTCAGTTTTTGGATAGTGGCCATCCTAAGAGGTTTGAGGTAGCATCTTGCTACAGCTTTGATATGTGCTTCTGTAATAATTAGTGGTGTCGAGCAACTTCTCATGTGCTTATCAGCTGTATGGATCTATATTTGGAGAAGTGTCTATTCAAGTCCTTTCCCCATTTTTGAATTGAGCTGCTTGTTGTTGAAATTCAGGAGTTGTCTACATATTCTGGATATATACCAGATATATAATTTACAAATATTTTTCCCTGTTTTGTATGGTGCCTTTTTACTCTGTTGATAGTTTTTTTAGTGTTAGGGATTGAACTTACAACTTCACACATGCTAAGCAAGTGCTTTAACAGTAAGTCACACTCACAGCCTTTGATACTGTCTTTTGATGTACAAATTTTTGAATTTTCATGAAGTCTAATTTGTTCAGTTTTGCTTTTGTTATCTGTATCTTTCACCAAGACATCACTTCCAAATCCAGTGTTGTGAGGCTTAACCCATGGTTGTTTTTCAGAGTTGTAATTCTAGTATTTAGGGTGGGCTTTTCTATTTCCATAAAAAATAGCATGGGGATTTTGACAGGGATTTTATTGAATCTGTAGATTACTTTAAGCAGTGCTAATACCTTAACAATATTAATGTATTTACTTTTTTGTGATCTTTATTTCCTCATATGGCTTCCAGTTACTGTCTAGTGTCCTTTTTATACATATAGTGGTTTTTTTCTTCCAGTGCTGGGGATCTAACCCAGGGCCTTGGGTATGCTAGGTAAGTGCATCCTTAACAACCTTTACATACATAAAGGCTGTTTTATTATTTTTTATCTTTTGGTGGTACTGGAGTTTGAACTCAGGGCCTCACACTTACTAGGCAGGTATTCTGCCTCTTTAGCCTCTTCACCAGTTCTTTTTAGTTTTTTTTTTTTTTTTTTTTTTTGTGGTACTGGAGGATTGAACTCAGGGCCTATACCTTGAGCCACTCTACCAATCCTTTTTTTGTGAAGGTTTTTTTTTGAGATAGGGTCTTGAAAACTATTTGCCCAGGGCTGGCTTTGAACAGCAATCCTCCTGATCTCTGCCTCCTGAGTAGCTAGGATTACAGGCATGAGCTACCAGTGCCTGGCTTGTGTTTGGTATTTTTGAGATAGGGTCTCTTGAACTATTTGTCTGGGGTTGGCTTTGAACTGCCATCCTCCTGAGCTCTGCTTCCCAAGTAGCTAGGATTATAGGTGTGAGCCACCAGTTCCCACCAGCATAAAGTTTTTATAGCCTGCTTTTTTTTCACTTAACATTGTGTTTTCCCTTGTAAATATTCTTGATAACTATTCAAAAGATAAATACAAAATGGATGATCTTTGCCTTTTTTAAAGTTGGTTAGCAACTGCTTCCAGGTGGGAGAAAAAAAATTTACAGGTTTCCTTTGCCTTAGTTCAAGGTGATGACTACATACTTTAAATCTATTTGCTTCCTTCATAAAAAAATTTGGGATACAACTGAAGTTGAGTAAACAGCTCAGCATAATCATAGATTTTATATGCAGTATGAATAAAGCCATACTATTTGCTTATGAAAGGGCACTTTTGATCTGGAATACTATGGCTGCTCCTTACATATTTCACAGTAGGCATAACTATAAAGTGCTTCATAGGGGGGATGATGGGAGAAGTCTAACCCATGTACAATATAAGGCTATTTGGAATTGTCATGATGAATCCCCCTGTATAACTGATATATCCTAATAATAATGAAAAAAAATGAAGTGCTTCATAAGTACTTGAGACAGCATAATGAGTCACTATTTAGTGTCTAAGTCTTTAATTTTAAATGTTGATAAATAATATTACAGAGACAATTTTACAGCATCCAACTACCACAGATTATTGATAAAGATATTTATACTCTGACCTGAGAGTTTATGGAAAGTAAAGAAGTATATACCCTGGATACATGCTTGCAGTGTGAATTTTCTGGGTAATGGAGAGAGGGGAATTCCCCAAAACCTGACATGGTATACCTGCACCCCCCCCACCCCCAATGCCCATTTTAGTCTACCTGAAGCTGAAAATAAGGTATAGTAGAAGAAAAACTGAGGACCAGCAATAAACTAAAACAATCTGGGATGCCCAGGGTAAGGGGTCCATCCTGAGCTACCTCTTTACCGTTTTTAGAGAAAAGTCATTTCCAAACCAGAGCTACACATGAAAGTTCCCATCAAGTTTTTTTGACAGGGGCGTACTTGAGCTGTCCGCAATGGCGGGCACAGGTTCAGTGGCCGGAGAGGTTGTGGTGGATGCGCTGCCGTACTTCGATCAAGGTTATGAGGCGCCTGGAGTGCGGGAAGCGGTGAGTGCGGGACGTCTGTGTAGCAGACTGCTCTCGCTGGCAGTCCCAGTGCCGCATGAGGCAGGTTCAGGCCCTGCCTACCCTGGCTCACGTTCTCCTTCTTAGGCTGCGGCGCTGGTGGAGGAGGAGACTCGCAGATACCGACCTACTAAGAACTACCTGAGCTACCTGACCGCCCCAGACTACTCTGCTTTTGAAACTGACATAATGAGAAATGAATTTGAAAGACTGGCTGCTCGACAACCAATTGAATTGCTCAGTATGAAACGATATGAACTTCCAGCCCCTTCCTCAGGTCAGAAAAATGACATTACTGCATGGCAAGAATGTGTAAACAACTCTATGGCTCAGTTAGAGCATCAGGCAGTTCGAATTGAGAATCTGGAACTAATGTCACAGCATGGATGTAATGCCTGGAAAGTATATAATGAAAATCTAATTCATATGATTGAACATGCACAGAAAGAACTTCAGAAGTTAAGCTGGGTATCTCTGGTCAGTAAGAATTATGAGATTGAATGGACTATTGTGCAACTGGAAAATGAAATCTATCAAATTAAGCAGCAACACGGAGAGGCAAACAAAGAAAACATTCGGCAAGACTTCTGAAAAGGGCTGGTGGTGTGACTCACGTGGTAGAGCTTTTGGCTAGCAAGCGCAAGGTCCTGAGTTCAAACCCCAGTACTCTCACACACACACAAAAGACTTCTGAAAAGACTAATTTGGTGGGTAGAAAGGAAGAAAAGTTGAGCTTTCACAAAATATCAGGCATCTGAACTATGAAGGACAACAGCCTGTCACAGAAACCATTGATGGTGAGATGTTTAGAAACCACAGAACATGTGTACCATTGTATTAATTCTATTTGTATTTCTTAGCAAAATAAAGATTTTCAACTTGGTGGTAAAAAAAAAAAAAAAGTTTTTTGACAGTACTGGAGTTTGAACTCAGGGCTTCACACCTGCTAGGCAGGTGCTTTCCTGCTTGAGGCAGGTCTCCAGACCTCAACTTTTTATCTGTAAGTATCCAACCTTTATGTGCAGGAAAGAAAAGCAGTTGTATACTCCTTGCCACTATTTCCAGAGAGGATTTCTGATATACATTATCTAACTCATTTTAATATCAGTCCACATACTAAAACACATTTTAATAATGTCTCTAAATAATACATCATCTTAAAGAGTAAGAATATATACATATACTGAAACATTAGAGTACCTCATAACTGTACAGTATTTATGTACCAGTTAAAAATAAAAAAGTGAATTTTTGTGTCAAAATATGGTTCACTTCTCTTTTTTTGTGTGTGTGTGGTTTCTGTTTATTTATGACAAATATTCCACACCCACAACGTTCTCTGATCAGAAGTTTTTTGGGACAAGTGCATGTTTTAAACTGGCCATGGCACCTGTCTGTGACCTTGTCAACCTCGACCACATCACCTGGGATGCAGTTGCTGGCAAAGTTCTGCAGCAGGTCAGGGTCCACAAACTAACCAACACCTACTAAAGACATGCCTGCTGCTGCCAAGATGAGCTTGAGCACAGAAAACTGATTCACTCCTTTTTGGTTTTGGTGGGACTTGGGTTTGAACTCAGGGCTTCACACTTGCAACGCAGGAGCTCTACCACTTGAATCACACCTCCAGTACATTTTGCTCTGGTTAGTTTGGAGATGGGGTCTCAGGAACTATTTGCCCGAGCTGGCCTTAACCATAATCCTCTCAATCTCAGTCTCGCCAGTAGTTAGGATTACAAGTGTTGATTTACTCCTTTTTAAAGCAGTCTCCACAGTTAAAGAAGGGCAAATTCTAAGCTTCTTGAGAAGTGTTTCAGTACCTGTTTTCCGCAGTGCTGAGCCACAGCACTACACACAGTAGACACACAATAAATACTCTCAGTGTTGACAACGCAATGTAAAGAAAGCTTCTTCTAGGGTAAATGTAGGCTTAGTCTACAAATCCGTATCATGTATTTCTATGTGGGTCTGGGCTGGCTGTATTCAAGAACTGTTTCTTCAGGAAGACCTGCTTAAGAGGGATTATAAATCTAGAATTGCCTAGCCAAAGAAGTGAAACTTCAAATTTCTCACTGTATGGCAACAAACAGATGATGGTATTCTTTCTTCTATGATTGTTTAGGAAGAATCCTTTTCCTTTTTTTTTTTTTTTTTGGCAGCACTGGGGTTTAAACTCAGGGTCTCACGTTTGCTAGGCAGGTGCTCTGCCACTTGAGCCACTCCACTAGCCCCTAGGAAGAATTCTAATTTCTTTCTTTTTTTTTGAGCTGTGATGCTCTGCTTTTAATTTGTTCACCTTAATTCCCTCCCCACCTCCTTTCCAAAAGTGTTGATTTATTTCTTTTTTTGAAAATTAAACATTTTTCAGGTTTTATAATGACAATTTGCCTTTGAGTTTTTACAAAACCAGGTGGGGTTTTGTATTTGCTATACCAAACTCTCAGCAGTATGGCTGAAGAACAGGTCTGTTCTGCATCTGTCCTGATCTCCTTCCCCACTGAAGGATGAAGGAATCCCTGTGCCACCTTAGTCCCCACCTGCATTTCCCGTAGCTTGCCTCTCCCTTCTCACTCTGTACCCACATCTGCTGTTTACAGTGCAGCAGAGGTGCAGGTGGTTATTAGGGAACAGTGCTTGTTCCATCTGTACCTGAAATAGACAGGTTGAAGGGGGCATATTATGAAATCTCTTTGTTGCCATAGGAACAAAAACCAGATTTCTCTTGTATTTTTCACCAAGATGACTTCCAAAAACAAACTCTGTGGAGAGGATGCAGGTGCACAGGATAAAGAATTCCACTGCATCTCATCTACAGGGAAGCAATCCACAAGGGGCTGTCTTAAATGCAATCCTGCTGACTAAGACATTAGACAGAAGGTTTACCTTGCTACAATCCAGGCTTCACTGCTAGGCTTAGTTTCTTCATCCCTGCCAGAAGGGTGCAAACCTGCCCTTCCCCTCCCCCCCAGCTCAACAGGGCATTGGGCTATCTGATTGCAAACAGATTTCAACATCTCTTTACTCCTCCTCCATGCCACAGTGAACCACATTCTCCTACCTTTGAAGTAAACACTGCAGCCACCTCAGCTGCAACTGAGTTTGTTAACAAGCCCTCAGGGGATACCATTACCCTTGCTGCCTTTAGAAACAAGTCCTGGTCCTCAAAGCAAAGGGAGCCAGAGTGTGCCTCAGATTTTCCACGATGTTCAGGGTTCCCAGGACACTCGCACTTCACTGGAATATCCAAGGTACTGACTGGAAGGTTCAGGTTCTGCTGGTCTTTAATGGTGGCTTGTAAGGCCCAAGAGAGGGTCACCAGACTAAAGGGAAGGAGGTTCTCACTCTGATCATGGCTTTTGGGAACTTTTATCTGGGTGTACTCTCTTAAAGGGAGAAGTGAGATGGACCCAATATATAAGGGACTGAGAAGTGACCTGGCTGAGAAAAGTTTCAATCCCAGGTCACTCAGAGACTCACTTAGTGACTGAGAGGACAAGGGTAAGAAGAGAATCGCCGCGTTTTTCAGTCTTCCATTTTTGATCAACCATTACTTCCTTCAAAATCACTTTGCACCATTCTTTCCTTAGTTTCCGATCCTAAACAAGGCACATCTGGACTGCTTCTTCCTAATTGGTTTTATAACCAACTTCTCATTATTTTAATTGTGAAGAGACAAATCTTAAAATATAAAATTTTTTTTTTCAGTGCTGGAGATTGAACCCCCAGGCTTTACACGCACTAGACAAGTGACCTACCACTGAGCTATACCTAACCCTTTGAAATGTAGTTTAAATAACTTCTATAATTCCTATTGCAAATTATGAAATTGACACCTGATATAGTTTTGTCTTTTAAAAATTTTTTTTGGTGGGACTGGAGTTTGAACTCAGGGTTTCTTACTTGTAAAGCAAAAGTGGTAGAGTACAGTGCACTCTACCACTTGAGCCACACCTCCAGTCCATTTTGCTCTAGTTAGTTTGGAGATGGGGTCTCGTGAACTATTTGCCTGAGCTGGCTTTGGACCTCAATCCTCCCAATCTCAGCCTCCCAAGTAGCTGGGATTACAGGCGTGAGCCTCCAGCACCTGGCCTGATAAGGGTTTTTATGTACGTCATCTTATTGAATCTTTTTGGGTCTGTGTGATGAGTATTATCCTCAAATAATGAGGAAGAAACCAGGGTCCAGGGGTTAAATTTCTCTAGTGCAAATGACTAGTAAGTGGTGCAGCTGGGATTCAAACCAGAACCTTTGTGACCCTGGAACCCTTTTCTCATACACTACCCACTGCACTGTCTGCACACAAACCCATCAAGACTCTCCCTCCATAACCACTGGTCTAAACTTTTTATATTTTGGGAAAGGTGATTCCCTTCTCTGACTTTCTGCAATATTCATATTCTGCACCACACAATTCAGTTGTGAAGTACATTCCAACATGTTTTCTAGGTGCTTTACTGAAATCAGTCTCCCCAATAAACAGCATGATCCCTTTAAGGGCTTCCCTAGTAGGCTGCAACCTAGTCCAGTGCAGTGTTAGCACATCCTAGAGTTCAATGACTATGTGAGACTAATGGCTGCTGCACACAATGATAACAGCTCCTCATTACGTGCCAGACACCGCCCCAAGGTTCCCACTTGCAGTAACTTACTCAATTCTTGTATGTTCCCACAAGGCAGGTACAATTCTTACTCCCATTTTACAGAGCAGGAAAACCTAGGTACTGAAAGGTTAAATTGCCCAAGATCAACCAGTTAGTAGAGTGGCAGACCTGAGTTTCAAACATAGGAAGTCTGGCTTCCAGGTCCACCCTATGAACAATTAGTTAAAATGCCTGGGTCTGTTAAAAATAAAATAGTGTCAAGAATGAAAAAGAATGATATAGGGATGGTATTTCCTGTCAGCAACCCAGAGAAAGAATCAAGCAGGGAAACTGGGAGTATCCCATTCTGTAGCTTTCTTCCTAAACATTCTTAAAGAGAAAAAGTTCAATTTTTCTTGGTGAGAGCTGATTACAAACCAATCTACAGGGATGGCTGGGGGTGTAGCTCAGTGGTAGAATGCTCACCTAGAATACATAAGGCCCAGGGTTCAATCCCCACAACTATAAAAGTAATTCATTAATTAAAACAAAAACCCAACCTATAATATCTTCTGGGCTGTTTTAGTTGTAACTGCCAATTGTGACAAACTGAGGAATAGCATTTTTCTTTAGAGACAGACCTGCAATCTTCATTCATTCCCCCACCCTGCCTCCACCTGTTGAGTGCCATGGTGACAGTAGCTCCCTGTTGCATCTCCTGAGAAGCTGCCACTGCGGCCTCGGCCAATGATGCCACCGCCTGGGTGGCCTCTGATGCTTGCGTCGTCTGGATGGTCATCTCACCTCCCTGTAATGTGGCCCAATTTTGTTCCACCTGAGGCAGAAAGAACAAGTCAGTCAAAAATCAAAGCACAAAAGGGTTATGTTTTTTTTTAAAAGAAATTCTGATAATAAATTGCTATGTTTTTAGCCAAATAAATGTGCTTTTAAATCAATAACCTATGATGTATAGACATGGCTTTTAGTATGCTATCAATTGTGTTTAAAAAAGGGGAGGGGTTATAGAGCATATATTTGAATTTACTTATAATTGAATAAAGAATTTTGGAAAGATACACAAAAGAAACCATTAAAAATACTTTCCTGGGTCAGGTGAGGTGATGCATACCTATAATCCTGTACTTGGGAGGCTGAGGCAGGAGGGTGGAGAGTTCAAAGCCAGTCCAGACTTCATACCAAGGCCCTGTTCCAACAACAATGACAACAAAAGAAGAAACTACCTCCTTTGAGAGACAGAAAGCAAGACTTTCTACTGTATACTGTTTTTTTTTTTTTGGAGCTAGGGTCTCACTACGTAGCCCAGACTGGTCTCAAACTCTCATCCTCCTGCTGAGGGTTGACTACAGGTGTGCACCACCATCCCCAGCTATAGTATAAGGAAGCTAAATGATATGTTATGATATTACTGGGATGAGAGTCAAAAGCAGAGAGAAAATAGGAAGAAGGAAAAGAGAAGAGATCTAATCAGAAATATGGCAGGTGATAAAGTAGTTTTGGTACCATCATCTCTGGGATTTACTATTCCAGCGTCTCAGTGCTGACTTTGGCTCAGACTTTGGTTGTGTTTGCTTGGGCTCCTGTTGTGCTCCGTTCCCATTTGTTGGGAGCCAGTGTGTGGTTATCTATGTCTATGTCACCATGTCCCAAATTAAGTGTATAGGTTACCAAACTCCAAAAAGTGAAGTTAATCAGAGGATGCCCTGTTTGCTTCTAGCCGTATCTGAGAGACTCATTACACTGAGGACCTTCAAACCACAGCTCCTCTTATCTCCAGCTAGAGTGAGCCGCTACTATAGCCATCCCACATGTTCAAACTTGGTTCACGGAACGTGCTGCTGCTTTTGATAGAAACACAGCTCCCGTCCCTGCATCCTACCCTCCTAGTCTGAGCTCCAATGCCATTCCTCTGGTTAGACAACAATTCTGCACTACAGTCCAAGGTTAGGGCCTCTATCTGCTCTGTGTTTCACAGGACCGGGGCTTGCTGCTGCTAGGCTCTTTGCTCACTGCATGGTTCTCCATGGGTTTTCCCTACCATTGCCTGTGTATTCCTTCTGGGCAAAGGCAGTCTTGAATATTTAGAGCATCTAGAATATTTAGAGCCTGGCACGGGGCTCCAAAAGTGTTTACTGAATGAATAGAGGATGGAGAGCATACTCCTTTACTCACATTTCCTACTTGTTATTGAGCCAATCCACATTTCAGCTAAGTTGATAGTCATTAAAATGTAATATGCTAGGCAATCTCAAAACCATTGATGCATGATGGTTCCATTTAAAATTCGTGTTTCTAATGTCTTTCCACTTTGGGGGCCTTTTTGTTGTTGTTCCAGAGGAATCACATATACCTTTGTCATCAGATATTTTCTTTTGATTTTTCTGATACCTAATGCAATTAACATTACCAATACAAACTGGTCCCATCATACAACAGAATAAATTCTCGAATCATTTTTACTTAAAATATGCCATCAAACTTGTATATTTTTAAATCAACATAGTTTATTCCATTTTTGGAATTCTTTCCTTACTCAATTCAAAATGCCTATATAATTTGTATCATATCTCTAATTAATCTCAAACTGTTTAAGGCTAGAGAATTTTTCGTTTTCGTGTTAGATTATTGGCTACTCTCAGCACACCAAGCCCCTAAGTGGTCTCTCATAAAAGTACTAAAGATATAATCCCTTCAATTGCATCTTATACAAAATGCTGTATTACAAATGCAAGATTATAAACTCCTACCAGTTGGGTTTGGGTTGCAGTGATCTATGAACTTCAATTATTACCACTAACATACACAGCAAAAGATATTTCTCCATCAAAAGGGCTCAAATAATATAAGGCTATAGACACAGAGGCTACCTCATCATCTTCGGAATTGTCACTTTCCCTCACCTACTCAACCCAGTATTTAAAAGATGCAGACAGAATTCTCTTTCTTACCTCTCCATCAGCCACAGCAGAGTAGTTCACTTGGGCAACAGTGACTGTGGTTGGCAGCTCTGAAGCATCTGCTAATGTGGCTACTGTGGCTCCTGTACCAACCTACAGAACAACAGGGGAAGTGGTATCAGCGGACAGACCCTCTGCCTTGCCTTTACTCAGACATTAGGGTTCACTGAATCCCCAGTGCAGCACAGATAATAATTAATACGCTTTGTCATCTCTCAGAGACTAGCATGAGTTTCAGAAGTTCACTTCAACCAAATAAATCAATATTAGAAGAGCTATTGTTCTTCATTATCAGTGCTTAGTGCCAGCCAACCACCTTCTTCCTACTCTCACTACAACCTCAACTTCAGAGGTTCCCCACCTATCAATAAGTTATGCTTCACCTTAGAAGAGCTAATTCAGAAGGAATATTCCTGGTCACTGACAGTGAAACTGTGAAAAAAAGAAGCAATTTTCAGATTCTTTGTTAGGAAGTGCCCAGGAAAGGTACCCACAGCTCTTATTTAAATAAGACGCAAACAATTTAAAATACTGCTCAAAGGCTGGGGGATGTGGCTGGGTGGTAGAGTATTTACCTAGCCTCTTCCAAGGCCCTGGGTTCTATCCCCAGGACACCCCCAAAAACAAAACAAAACAAAACAAAACAACCCAATAAAATATTGTTCAAAAGTCAATTTTAGATAAGAAGATCTAGGGGGCCTACATGAAGGTCAGACAAAAATTTGCACAAGAAAACTTTCTCAGATCTACACTGAGATGTCCACTAACTCACCTGGATAAGTGAGACAGTGCCATCAGGATTGCTGAAGGTCTGTACTACAGTCTGTGACGGTACAAGGTGGGCTATACTGTGTGTGGTGGTGGCTTGTGTTTGTGTTTGCTGATCTTCAAAAGCATACAAAAGATCCTCCCGCCCATGTTGTTTATAACAGTTCTTCACTATGGTCCGTAGTGCTTGGGTCCATGAAACCTGCGACCAAAAGCCAAGAAAGGTCATTAAGCCGCAAAGAACTTTAGTATTTAATCTCATTATGCAATAATCAACTGCTCATTTATCAAGCCTCATATGAGGATTATTTGCCATAGACTGATTCTGGCCCAAAATAACTGAGCACCAATTACTAAAGATAGTTTCTACTCATTTCCCTTCCTGATCTAAGTCTGGTTTTGCTTTTGGGTTTTATAACATTCCAATCTGAGGCCAAACTCTTAAACTTCTTACAAAAGATGATTTCTATGCCAAGAATTCTATATTAAAATCATCGAAAAACTTAGGGGATGTTATCTAATTTAGTCTTTCTTTACAAAGTTTCATTATTAGCAGACTGACTTGAAAGACTGCATCTCTACTTCTATGTTTATATTTTTCAACAGCAATTCTTGCTGATCAGAAATAAGAACATTTCTAAGTCTTTAAATGATTGATACTTTCACTTTAAGTTTCTCTGATTTTCCCAAGCACCTTCATCCAAAAGGAAACTATTAAGACAAGTGCAAACTCACAGTCCCTCCAGGACTTTCTTTACAGATGGAGTGATGAATGGGAAAGGCCATAAGGCAGAGAACATCGAACTTCCTCAGAATGACAGGTTTGATTATTACAGATTTTTGGATTTTTTTGGCATAAGTAGTAGAAGTAACAAAAACTGAAAAGACTGACTCAGAATGATAAAGCATTGAGCAACTCAGACCAGGAGACCCTCACCCTCTGTTTTTGCTCTTCTGTGCGGACATCACTCCGGACATTTGCCCATGGGATGTCTTCAGGCCACCAGATGGGCTTGCAGCTTTCTTTCCCCCAGCCAGGCTTTCCCCGCCCTGTGGAGTACTTGAGCATCTCTGGGATAAATGCCCGAAGCTGGGCCTGGAAGAGAAGAGTGGTCATCAGAACTCATGAAAGGCATCTGGGATGTGTGTATGTTCCCTACCAAACTCTAAGAGTATGAAACACACCCTTCCTGCAGAGTCCTGGAAGATTCCAAATGTGACTGCTGAGACCCATTTGCCCAGGTTACTATAGCTCCTTGGGTGATTGAAAAGTATACATACATTGGTTAAGGGCACTTTAAGTTGTATTTTATAGGCTTGTTCCTAAAAGACCAAGAATATCTGCCCCATGTTTGACTTCTGCCTCCTAAAATACTACTGACACTAGAGCTAATTTCCCTTCCATAGTTTTGATGCATTTAAAGTGTCCATGTTAAGGTGTTTCAGCATTGTTCTGGAGGTGGTAATTTATGCAATTAGATAAGAGAAGAGTAAGAGGTGAGGATCAGGACAAAACATCATTATTTACAGATGAAATGAATGAGTATCTACAAAACCCCAGAGAATCAAATGAAAAACTACTACAAACTTAGTGAATTCAGTAAGTGGATGATAATAAAATACATAAAAATAAACAGGCTTTCCACTTAGTAAAATGGGAAAAAAAAACCCAAAAAGTCTCTTTTAAAAAAGGTTCTAGAAAGCTAGGTCACTGTCTCTGAGTCACATATGTAGATTGCAGTGAAGTGTGTGTGATTTTATTTAATTAACTAATTAATTAATGTATTTATCAACAGGGTCTTCCTATATAGCTCAGGGTGGCCTTGAACTTGTGATCTTCTTGCCTCAGCCTCACAAGTGCTAGGATTGCAGGTGTATACCACCATGCCCGGTTCTTGTGTGATTTAAATACCTTATGGACTTCATTTATTTTACTAATCAAATCCACACTAAACAGGTTTTAAACCAGAGTAAACTGCCATACATCTTTATTTTCTGGCATAGTAACTACACTCTATGTATGTGCTGGGGGAAAAGGAGATGTACTTTGTGAATATTCTTCAGTACTAAAGATGTCACACAAGAAAAGCAGTTCATCAAGTTACAGTCTTGGAACAGTCCCAGGCCTACTGTGGTCCTTTCAACCTGGTGGTCTACAGCACTGTACAGGGAAGGAATATCCTATGCTCACCAAGGACACGTATGTACTACACAGCATAAAGTAAAGGGAAGGAAAAAGAGGACAGAGAGCATTCTGAGAAGGAGTCACACTCAAGGACCTGGCCATAGCTATAAACCCAAAAACAAAAAAAGGTCGGGGGTGGGGTAAGGGAGAGTACTAACAAGAGAGAACGAGTATGGCAGCACTTTAATATTACAAATCTTATCTAACCATTAGGTGTTCTTATAGTAAACACTTGAGTCTTATTTGACCAGGTGATATTAAATCATTACATAATAGGGAACCATGAACCCAGATCAGTGGTGTATACCTTACAGTTTGCTTGACAGTATTTACACTGCTAATTACTGTGCTGACCCTGCCACTTCACCTCTCTTCCTAAGCTCCCCACTCCCAGACAGTCTCCTGCCTCAGGATATGATATAATACCCTCCTCATATATTTGGCTCTGCAGCACCAAGCAGCAGTCTAATAGAAATGTATCCACTTGCAAACCCATGCTATCAGCTGGCTCATGAGGTCATTCCTCAGTTATTTTAAGAAAGTACATCTCAAAGTCACTTTCCCCTTTATCCTGACTTCTTAGGAGTATGTCTTTTTGTAGCCTTAGATTAACAGTTGAAAAGGGCTTAACCCTCACACACATTTTATATATTCTTCTTATAAAAAAAAATAGCTCTCTCCAATGTATAAATTAAGTAAATTGATACCACATTAATATTCTCCAGAAAGGATAGTTTTTTACATCCATTCCTAGGAGAGTCTGGAGAAAATGAAATGAGCAGGCCGTCTCTAAATTAACAAAATACTGAAGTGTTCAGAAGGAACACACTGTGGAGGACCCGATTTGACAGTGGCTCAAATCCAATTGGATCCTCTGTGTTCTACAATACTGAAGGACGCTCCTTTCTCATTCCTCGCCCAGCTTGCACCAGCAGCTCCCTCTGCTCATCTTCTCAACTTTGTCTTTGTCAGTAGAAACCTACCCGAGCCTTCACCACCTGAGCACAAAACCTGACAGTTATCGTTATCTCTCACCTTCAATAAACTTCTTTGCAATATCTGTGGTGTCCATCCCTTCTCCCATCCCACCTTCACCTCCACTTCTTGCCCAAGATCAGTGTATCCTGCTAGTTTAGTTGGCTTTCTTGTCCAACTCCAAGTTCTCCATCTCCCTCCTATTGCACAATCTTTGTCAGTCAGGTTTTCCTTAGTGCTTCATAGATCCAATGCTCAAAAAAAAGTAACAACTAAACTGTGATCCCTCTGCCCAGTGTTTCAGGCCCACCACAACATGGCTTCACACGACATTCAGTTCCCACTAATTCCCCTCGGGATCCCTGGTTCTTGAGGCAAGTCTCTGCACTATCGTGATCCGCCGGGCTCATTTCTGCTTCTCTGCTTTTTGATTTGTTCCTTTCCTGAACTCCTTTTCTAATGCCACCACTTAATCTTTTTTCTTTCCCTTTCCTTTCTTTCTTTTTGTGGTACTGGGGTTCGAGCCTAGGACCTTGCCCATGCAAGGCAAGTTCTCTACCAGTGAACTACATCCCCAATCCTCCTTCCCTTCTTATTTTTTAAGACAGGATTGGCTATGTAGCTCAAGCTGGCCTTGAACTTGCGATCCTCTGGCATGCTGGGATTACAGGCACGTACCACCATACCTGGCTTACTACCACTCTTTAGTGCCCAACAAGTCCTACATCCTTTGTGAAATATATACTGACTACTTCTCGAGTCAGCTCTATCAACACAAACATGAGCTCTAGACTCACAGAGTTGGCTCTGAATCCCAACTCTCTAAATCTTAATTTCCTCATCTGCAAAACAGTAGTGACAATAGCAAACACACTGGGTCAGTTTGAGAGGATTAATGATGGCAGGTATGCACAGCTGCACTGAATAGCAGTTTTGTTATGTTATCACTTCAGTCATCAGCCATCTTTCTCAGCAACTTGTATAGCATTCCTAACAAAAGTCATAAAATTAAGTGCTTACTTTATGTAAAGTTTTATAGGATCATTCATCTCCCACCAAAGCTGTTTGGCAAATAACAACTCTGATTTTACAAAGAGGAAAAAATTGTCCTTTTTATTAAAACAAAAAATGCTTTAACTAGTTACTCTCTAAATCCATCAACTACTCTAAATGCAAAACAAGTAAGGATTCAGAACCATCATGGCTCTAATCTGACCAGTTTTACTCCTAAATCTGCTATCATGCTTCTAAGGCCAAATGCAACCACTTGTCAAAAAAGAAATATTTCAAGGATACAAGATGTTATTTTTATTTTATAGTTTTGTTGGTGGTGGTTTTTGGTGGCACTGGGGCTTAAATTTAGGGTTTTGTGCTTGCTAGGCAGGCACACTACTACTTGAGCCATGCCTCCAACCCCTAAGATTTTATTTTTAAATAAAGGAAATTAAAGAGTCTAATCTAGCAATTCAAAGACATGGCCAACTTTCTGAAATGGATTTCTAATACTGGCAACAGTATAAAATAGAAAAAGCAGAGGCAAGAGAATGAGTTTATATGGATCTGAGTAAATAGGATTGAGAATGAGAAACAGAAAATGTCAGGACCAAGAAGAAATGCAATTGCCCACATGGGCCAATTCCTTGAGTGGAGGAAGTGAGCTGTTACCTATCTACTCCCAAGGTACAGGTAGTTTAGGTGACTGCTCTGCTGGATCCATGAACATTAAAAAACATACATCAGGCTGGGGATGAAGCTCAGTAGTAGAGCACCTGCCTGCATGCAGAAGGCCCTGGGTTTGATTCCCAGCATCACAGAACAAACAAAACCGTAATGGAAATAGCCAGAAAATATGACTCAAGGGTAACCATAATCAGAGGAAAGACAGAACTAGAGAACATCTCAAAGCTGTTTTATGTGCTAGAAATCCTTGGATAGGAAATGTTTCAAATCCCCAGGAAGAAATGGAAATGGCACAAAGGGAAGGCAGAAACTTCAACAAATTAAAAAAAAAAAACAAAAACACGAACTAGACAACAGGCATGCGGGCACATACTTACAATCCCAGCACTGGGAAGCTGTGGCAGGAGGATCATGAATTTGAGGCCAATGTGGGGTACATAGGGAGATACTATCTCAAAAAAAAAAAAAAAAAAATTACAGTGAAATTGGCAGCTGATCTGCACAGAGGTAATCTGATTCATTGTAAAAGACAATTTTCCACTGGACTATTTTTATATTGTCCCAAATAAATACTGTGAAGGTTAAAGACACTTTTTTTTTTTCTCATCTTTTTGAGACAGGGTATCACTATGTAGCCCTTGTGATCCTCTTGCCTTAGCCTTCCTAGTGCTGGGATTATAGGCATGTACCACCATAACTGAGCTGAAGACACTATTACAAGGGGAAAATTAGTTGTCCTGTATAGAGTTAAATAATTCCTTCTCAGAACTCACCATTGTGTCCTCATTACTAGTGGATTAATTACTGGTCCAAGAGAGTTTTGGAAAGTGAAGCTACTTGATATGCTTGTTAAGGAAGGCTTGTCTGCAATCCACAGGGAGACAATCAACAGGAGCAGCACAGGTAAAGCCTAACCTCTCAGGCTGTCCTTTAATTGGGCCACAGTAAGCTTTCCTGGCTGCTCTCATTCTGTCTTAGGGCTCTATGTGGGCCGGAAATGCCCCAGCTTGGGTAGTAAACTCAACCCAAACCAGCAAAGTAGAAAATAAAACTCCTTTCAGGGCACAACCAGAAAAGAAAAGGATAGCAAATTCCTGTCAGTGGCATTCACAAGTAAAGATTGTGTAGAAAGCACAGATAGTTTTACAATGAAAGATCTTCCAAAATTCTAAAAACTTTAATTCAGAACTGGGCACTGGTGGCTCATACCTATAATCCTAGCTATTTAAGGAGGCAGAAATCAGGAGGATGGCGAT